ATCATAAAATGTGGTCTTACATGGTCCAGGTGATGTTGGGTTGTGGCAGACCGTCCACCAAACACAACAAAGAGACGTTAGTTTCAGGTCCAGCCAACACTTTCTTCACCTCTTCTCTCAGTCTCACAGTCGGGGGAGCTGCAGGAGAGGGTTGAGTTTCAGTATATTTTCAGTTTTTTTTTGTTTTGTTAATCTCATTCTAAAACTCAATGAGGAAGTGATGATAATAATTCAGCCTCATGAATGTGTTGGTGCAAAACAGTCACTTACCATTGACAACAACAGAAACAGAGAGTTCCACAAAGATTGACGACCTCCCTCTGATCTGAGCTCTGCACACGTATGTCCCAGCATCCACTCTCTTCACCTTTTCAATACGTAGCGTGTTATCAGACTGCTTACGCATATGCCCTCCCACTGAAGCAAGAGAAGAAAGGCAGAAAAAATTAACTAAAAACTATTTTGATGCAGAAATATTGATTAGAGCAGCTTTGGGTATGATAGTCATACAATAACTTTTTAAATCACAAAGCAAGCCTTCATATTGCAGGGTAGCATCAGGTCCTATGTTCCCATTTTTTGCTCTTACCATTAGAGATTTCTTGCCGGTTCTTAAACCACTGAACATCCACCTGTGGCTGTCCAGTCACCAGGCAGGGTACCAGCACATCTGTACCTTCCAGAAACTCATGGTAGGTCTTAGTGCTTCCAAATGACGGCCCATCTGACAGAAGAGGAAAAGATATAGCAACAAGTCCTAGCATACATATTACTGAGTTTAAAGTTTAAATGGAAAAAGTGCCGCCAGCTGTTACGTACCATAAACAAACAGCTGTATCTGAACATCATCTTTATGTCCGCTGTCAAAATCGCAGTGGCAAGTGTACCTGCCGACATCCTGCATTCTAGCCTTCTTAATTACCAATTTGGAGGAGGTCTCGTCCAACTTATTCACAATCTCTTCATCATCTATGTCCTCCCCATCCTTTTGCCAGGTTATTTCTCCCTCTGCTCCAGCTGAGAGGAGAGGCAAGAAGAAGGTAAAAAAGAAAAAGAGAGGGAAAAAAATATAATTTGTAGCCTTATTTTAATACCTTCACAAGAGTATAAAGCTGGATTGCAAAATATGTTCATGCTGAATCGTTTCAATTAGATAAGAAATATAAACAACTCACCTTTACACAACAGCAAGATCTCATCTCCAACTTTAAAATCTAGTTTAGTGGAAATGATGCTCATTTTAGCATCTGGAGGAGAAGACAGGAGAGGAGATTGGTTTTAGTCTGGGATGTTTTTCCTCTCTTTGGAAGAAGAGGAACACAGAGCAACATCTCATCCAAAACAAACACAGTAACAATGTTGTTCCTAAATCACCTATCAGGACTTTTTAGTTCATTGTTAAACATTTAACAGACAGCAGTTGAATGACATGCACAACACAT